CTAATTCCTCTAACACTCTCATCATCCACAGCTTTCTTCATGAGTGAGGAGAGTACGTTTGCAACAATTATGAATAAGTAAGGAAATAGAAGGTCTCCTCGCCGAAGACCTTTCGAAGGCGCAAAGAAAGGAAGTGGTTCTCCGTTAAACTTGACACTAAGGGAGGTTGTAGTGACACATTGCATAATCCATGAAACCCATCTCGCACTGAAACCCATCTTAATCATGTATGCCTCAAGGAAGTCCCACTCAACCCGATCATAGGCTTTTTTCATGTCCAACTTGAGGATGGCTTGAAATTTCCTTTTCATCTTCCTGATTCTTAGTTGATGTAGGACTTCCTGAACAACTAGGATATTATCTTGTATTTGTCTGCCGCTAACAAAAGCGCTTTGCTCCTCCGCTATCATATTAGGAAGCCAAGGTTTTAGGCAATTTGCGGGATAAGTACAGCGCAAGTGCCATAACTTTTGTACGGAGGACACTTAAGTGCTATAACTTTTTTTTGGCTCACTTGAGTGCCATAACTTTCAAAAATATGATCACTTAAGTGCCACTTACGAGCTGGTCGTGAGGGCCCGAAACCGCGACTTTTCCGGCCGAACAATGACCTTCCCTGTGAGGGGAGCACCGCCAGCTTGAAGAGGGGGTGTCGGTGAATCATTCCATGGCCTCCGTTCATCTCAAAATTTCCGTTTTAGTCTCCGTTGACGAAGGTAAAAATGCTTCGTAGTCACACATTTATCGAGCCGATTTGTGTGACTACAAAGCATTTTTACATTCATCAACGGAGGCTAAAACGGAAATTTTGAGACGAACGGAGGCCATAGAATGATTCACCGACACCCCCTCTTCAATCTGGTGGTGCTCGCCTTGCCGGGCAGGTCACCGTTTGGCTGGAAAAGCCGCGGTTTCGGGCCCTCACGACCAATCCCTTTGACAAGCTGGTCGTGAGGGCCCGAAACCGCGGCTTTTTCGGTCGAACGGTGACCTTCCCGGCGATGCGAGTACTACCAGCTTGAAGAGGGGGTGTCGATAAATCATTCCATGGCCTCCGTTCGTCTTGAAATTTTCGTTTTAGCCTCCGTTGACGAAGGTAAAAATGCTTCGTAGTCACACAATTTATCGAACCGATTTGTGTGACTACGAATCATTTTGACCTTCGTCAACGGAGGCTAAAATAGAAATTTCGAGACGAATGGAGGCCATGGAATGATTCACCGACACCCCCTCTTCAAGCTGGTGGTGCTCGCCTCACCGGGAAGGTAATTGTTTGGCCGGAAAAGCCGCGGTTTCGGGCTCTCACGACCAGCTCGTAAGTGGCACTTAAGTGATCATTTTTTTGAAAGTTACGGCACTCAAGTGAGCCAAAAAAAAGTTATGGCACTTAAGTGTCCTCCGTACAAAAGTTATGGCACTTGTGCTGTACTTAGCCCGGCAATTTGCCAAGACCTTGGAGATAATTTTGTAGCCGAAATTGCATAAGCTAATGGGCCTGAACTAGTCTAGTGTTTTTGGGTTAGGCTTCTTAGGAATCAGAACAATATGGGTTCTGTTCAGGTTGGGGTCAAGATGGCCAGATTCAAAGAAAGTTCTCACCATAGTGAATACATCGTGTTGGATGATGTCCCAATGTTGCTGATAGAATAGCCCATATAAACCATCTGGTCCCGGTGCTTTCTTTGCTCCCAACTGGAAAGTTGCTTCATTTACCTCCTCCATTGGTACACTTCTCAGCAGACTGCAATTCATTTGATCCTCCACTAAGCTAGGACACTGTTCTAGTACTGGGTGAAAGTTTCTTGGGCTCTTGGTGGTGTATAAAGACTTAAAGAACTGCTCCGTCATATCCTGTAGTTGCTTTGGATCTCGACACCATTCCTCATCCGTTAATTTCAGCATGGAGATCTTGTTTCTTTGTCTTCTTTGTACTATGGTTGCATGGAAAAACTTGGTGTTTTTGTCTCCCTATTGCAACCAACTTATCCTTGATCTCATTCCCCAAAATATTTCCTCTTGTTTCCTGAGTTCATCTATTTGCTGGTTCAAGAACTTCACCCTCTCTCTATTGTAGTGCACAGTTGGAGCATTCGTGATCTCCTGTAGCTCCCTTTTCAGAGATTCAATTTGACGTTTCGCATTTGAGAACTTCTCTTTGCTCCATTTCGTTAAAGCTTCTAATACTCTTTGTAATTTCCTCAAGAGTTTCTCATTTTCCAATCCAGGTATGCTCCACATTGACTAAACAACTCTTCTACATTCTTCATCTTCTAGCCAGTATGCTTCAAACTTGAATTCCCTCTTCCTTTTTATGGTTGTTGCTGATAATGAAAGTAATACGGGACTATGATCCGAGCCGACCGCAGGAAGGGCAAGAACTTGTGCATTTGGGTACATTACTCTCCACTCCACATTGCATAGAACTCTATCAAGTCTTGCCTTTAGTTGGCGACAGATGCTCTTCGAAAACCTGAGACAGCAAATGGACGAAAACATTCTCAGCTATGGGAAAGGGCATTCACAATCAGAATGTTACGACAAATCAATTGTTAATCTAGGCTGATGTACTGTGAAGTGATTGTGATTTGTAGCAGTTATCTTAACAAAAAGCCATGTCTAATGTGTTTACAGCCATCCGTAGAAAAATAATTTACTCACAATTTTGTATATGTTAATCTGTTTCTTCTTCGGTGGAATTATCTTCTATTGTTAGATTTTCCATCTCTGGAATTACCACAATTAAAATGTAAGGTTAAAATAAAACGACATACGTTGTGCAAGCCAAAAGCATTGTTGGATTACTTCCCGAAAAGCAACTTGTTTATTGCTTGGGCTTTTAAAAATATGTCTAAACTCTCTCAAATTGATGCCACATTTTTTAAGTGAAAACAGTGGTAACCCAAAGGGCAGCGTTAAATAGGTAATTAGTTTTTTAAGGCATGTTAATCCGTTAAAGATTGACATGACATGACACACTTTTTATAGCAATGATGCTAGTGAAAATTTCAATAAAAAGCCTTAAGTGGAGGTAGTTTCTTTTTTTAAATGGTTTAGAATAGATCTTATCTCAAATAGGAGTCCGAAATGACCAATGACATGACTTACTTTGGCGGCTGGAGCACAAGCATTCTTATTCAAATTATTATATTTTGACCTAGTATTAATGTGTAGGTCGGCCGATGAGTTCGGGCCCTTATTTGAGATTAAGTTGACTACTCCAAGCTTCTATTTAAGATAAGGTCCACCTCATGTCATCTTTTGTGAAAACAGCACTCTTTTTTTCTATGAGGTATAAACGACGAATCTATATATCGCAGAGGTTTCATTACTTGGGTAATGAGAGCTAAACAAAATTGACACCGATTTGATAAATCAGGCGATTACTTCGGAGGCCGGACGTTCATTTCCAAGGCATTCTGCGACAATTTCCTCTTCGGGAGATTTAGATTTTCCATCTACTTCATAAAGCATTTTGAAGTTAACCTGAAATGATATGTCCTCTTGTTAAACAAGTCTCCTGAATCCCACAAAGCGGAGGCATTTCCTCCGACGGTTAACGTGGGACACACGTCGCACGTATTTCGAGCGATCCACGCATTTGTCCTGTCTAGATACTAAGAGTGAGCGGTGCTAGGTTCCGTACAAGTTCCATCTAAAACTTGAAATCTACCTTACATGCTTTGGAACCTGGAACCTATCTTGTCATAAGTTCTAAGGTCGGTTCCAGGGTTTACCTAAGTTTCATTTGTATTATCAATTGAACAATTGCAATGAATCATCACCTTTAATAACTACCACTTGCTGCTACAATCACTGACCACGACTTATATTTAGACACATGAGTATTATGAAACATTAACAAGTCATAAAATGAAAGCTTAAACTAGTGGTTTCGGATTATATACTCATCATCTAACGCTATGGAACATCGTAGGATCACGCGAAGACATAGACAAAAAAAAAAACACAAAAATACTTGTTAAGGTTCTTACCTACCTAAAATCTGGTAACCTACCTATCGAAACATATTTATCAATTTTTGGAACTTAGTCATTGCCCTGCATACCTTGGAACTAGAACCTATAAATTCCTACCAGTCAGGTTCTCAGGTTCTACTTGGAACCATGCTCACCACTACTAGACACGTGAGAAAGATGCTTAAGGTTAATTTACAAGAGTTCTCAATTGAGGGCTAATGGATCCGACCATCTTCTAATTTGGAAAATCTATAAAGTAAGAGGAATCAACATGGAAATTATAGTTGGAGACGACCAAATTAAATTTCTCTTCGACAAGTGAATTACATATGCAACGAGGAATCGAGAAGCTATCGAGTGATGCTGCTGCAGTGAATTTTTTTGTTTTTGTAAATATATATTATAAATTATAAAAGTTCTTCTTCTATTTCACCTTTTTGTAACGAAATTTTTTTCATCCCGCTCCTAAATCTAAATTTGCGAGTCCACCAGCTGGTGTAATTTTCTTATGACTTGTATTTTCCCTTACTGTTGATTCCATCAGTCTGTTCGTCTGCTGTTGGTAATTTATACCGAAAATGATACAAATAATCCATGAACTTTTGATTTGTGCAATGTGGTTTTTGAATTTTAGCACAATATGCAATGTCATCCTTGAACTTTCAATTTGTTTAATGTAATCCCTAAACTATATGTAAATATTCAATGATATCCTTCCATTAATTCAACATCAAGGACAACATTGAATATTTTTATATATTTCAGGGATTAATTTGAATATGTACAAAAAAAATTTAAGGATCACATTGAACATCACATTGCAAATTAAGTTAAAGTTTATGAACTATATCACTATCCCTAATTTATGAAAAAAATTTATAAAAATCTGTTCTGACCTGATCGTCAACTTCACCACTATAGAACGACGTCAAAGTGACGTATATGAGCGATATCTTTGCCTGGAAGAAACTTCATGCGAGTATAAAAATTCCATAAATATATTCTCCCACCCACTGCCTCTGACTTGGTCTGCATAAAAAGTCAGTCTCACTTTGATTTCATGTCATTTCATATCATCGCTCCCACGAAATTCTTCTTCTTCACCCAACTGCTACTCACGGCAATTACACTTTGGTCTCTCTCCCTCTCTTCCTCTCAAGCTCAAGCCAGTGTTGACATTACATCACATTTTTACAGACCAACAAAGGTTCTACACACAAATCTTTAGTTGTAAAAAAGAAGTTTCACGCCGCAGTTTCATATTTGTTTTTGATTTTCGCTATTGTCTTTGCAATCACTTTGCTGGATGCTCTTGAAAGGTGAGAAATCCATGACTTGGTATACAGAAAATTCAGAGTGGCCTGCTTCAGTAATTAGGAAGAAGCTATGCAAGCCAGTGCCTAAATTGACTTTTACAGTTCTTCTTTTTTTCTTTTTCATGTTTTTTATTATTATTATGTATTGTTCTGATCTAGCCTCATCTTGATAATGAAAGTTCATTTGTCAGTATGATCTGATCAATCAAGTTTAGCGTCTCGAGGTCGAAACAAAATTGATAAAGGCAGTGTCAACATATACTTTTGACATATGCCATGGATTGATTTCGTGAGAGTTCCAATTTTTCGTTCATATGGTTCTAACATGGCTCAAATCGATAGTTTGACATTTTCTGTCCTATTTTATCTCTCTTTCCTGAGAGATTAATCCTGTGGGACATATGTTAATCTTCACAAGCAATTATCTTAGGCATAGCATGTTCTGCATTTAAAGAGAAGAGAAAGGTAGATTTATACCACACGGTGTATCTACCGTTATAATGGCAGTGGTTGGCCTAGGGATGATGATGTCCCAATAATTAACGCACATAAGTTGTACTCTCTTTAGTGTTTCAATGTGCTGGGGCTGATGGGGAAACACTTCTCAGGTACATGATTCTTGACCAGTGTTTCGTTGAAAGCTAAAGAAAGCATTTTACTGCTGGAGAATTATGGGAAGGAGAAGGGATTTATATCAGTCCAAGCATCCATTTAATGAATACCGTAACCATTGGCTCTCAATCTCGTTTTCTTCTTTCGTTTTGACAAATCTCCTGATTCAAGATTAATAGCAGACTTGTCTGGCTTCATCCATGCATGATATATAGTTACCGTTGAAGTGCCACACAATTGCGTTAACTGATTTAACCAACTTTTGATACTGCTATAATCGAAAGGGACATATATGTGATTTCATGGCAACCTGATGAGGCTGATATGATTAGTTTCCTTATAGTCCTAGACTTTCTTTTATAATGGCAATAAATTGCAAACGTTTAATTTCTAGTATCCCGTGCTTTTCCCGATGTCAGCTTTTGAGGCTTTGTGCGCGGGATCATGGCAACCTGTGGAATCAATAAGAATTAGCCATGGAAGAATGATCATATGCACTGTTGATGACCGGTATGCAATTGAGGAAAGTGGACCTTTCACTAACGTACGGATAAAGTCACGCCAAGCAACTTTATCTGACTGTACCTGCTTTTTGAGGCCTGGGGTGGACATATGTGTGCTTTCTCCTAGTGAAAAATCAAATGGCTTTGGAGAACTTCAAGAGCCTGTAAGTTTGCCTGCTTGTTTAATAGTGTTCTCTCTTGGAGCATTGTCGCTTGAAGCTTGTGCTTGCTGTGTTTATACAGTGAGCTCAATGGGTTGTTTGTGCATTAGTGCTGTCTCCTTCACTCAAGCAACTCGAAAGGTTTCCTTTTCAATGTTACTATTATGTAGTACTTCTTTCCCTGAAACATAAATTGATTCATATCAGACATGATGACATTCATCCAGATTCAGGGTAGTCTAATTGTACTGCTGGTGTTTCTGCATTAGTTGATTACACATCTGCTTGATATTGGAGGAGAAATTGTTATTTCCTATTTGCAAACAGTGACTTGTTGAATCTGAAGATAAAAACTACTCATTTTTGCCGCCTTCTTCCTCATGGTTAAGCTGTTTTTTTCTGCTAATTCTGCCATTTGAATACTCATATACAAAAGGCTCGACACTCAACATAGCATCCTATTTGAGAGGATTCATATAGGTGACACCACTTAAAAGGCTTAATTTTGTTGTTGCTGTTGTTGCTGTTGTTGTTTTATCATCAAGAACATTGGAAATAATGTTTTCCTCACTGGGTTTGGTGCTTTCATAAAAGGTCTTATTTCAGACTAAGTCTTACAGCACAACAATGTCCGATCCATGATATAATCAAGTATATTCCCTAATTATGGTCATTCGCATTTTAAAATTTTCGATCTTGCTTAAGTTGGAAATTCAGAATATCTAGTGCAATAATTCCTTCCATAAATCTTAAGCATTGTACTTTCTTTTTTAGGGGTGGGTTGATGCACGAATAAGTTCGATTGAGAGGAAGCCTCATGAATCTAGATGCTGCTGTCAGTTCTATGTGAAATTGTACACTTCCAAATGTCCTCTTGGCTCAGAAAAAGGAGTACTTAGTAAAGAGATTACTTTAGTAGGAATAGATGACATCTGCATCCTCCAAAGACTCGATTCTAAAGATTTCAAAAGCCAGCTATATCGGTGGACGTATGCCGAGGACTGCTCTTTATTGCAGAGAAGTAAATTGCTTCTAGGAAGATTCTTAGCCGACATTTCTTGGTTACTTTCCACATCAGCCCTGTATCAGATCATTTTCAATGTAAGGTCACTGCACAATAAGATTGTCTACGAAATATTTGGTCGTGATGGAAGAGTCTCTTTCAATACTGACAATAACTTGAGAACCTTGAACTTCAAAGTCGAAAATGAAGTTATGATTCCTATTGTAGTCCAGCACGTTCCAACGAAAACAAGTGAGGCAGGTATTGCTTTTGGAGAACATGAATCAGTGCTCGAGCTCTTCTCAGATGTTATGGACTTGAGACGCTCCAAACGTAGAAACATTCAGCCAGAGCGTTTCCTCGGATGTGATGCATCCCAGTTAAACATTTCCTCTCATACTACAGGGCTATACAAGGTTGATAAATGGAACAGTATTGAAGAAGATACTCTTCCTGGTTTGCAAAGCTATACTCTAATGATGAACCCTGCAGACATGCAACAACAAGTGCTGTCAAAGCTTTACAAGTCTAGGTACCATGGAGATCCTCGTGAGCTACAGCTTTTGATTACACTTGGCTCCATACATCCTTGGCTGGTCAAAAATGCTTGCTGTGCCAGCAAATTTTTTAGCAGAGATGAACTGATGCCGCTAGAAAAGCACAAGTTTGATATTAAAGAACCAAAAGTGAAGTTCGTCCTTAGCCTTGCGTATCTCGTTTTTCAGAAGGAGAAGGTTTTGATCTTTTGCCACAACATTGCCCCCATACATTTATTTCTCGAAATTTTCGAGAACATTTTTGGGTGGCGGAAGGGAAAAGAAGTTATGGTCCTCACAGAAGGTCTGGACCTTTTCAAGCAAGAGAGAGTGATTAATCAGTTTCAGGAGCCCGGTCATACCTCAAGAATACTTCTTGCCTCTATGGACTGTGCTCAAGGTATCAGTCTGACCGCAGCTTCCCGGGTGATCTTACTGGATTCTGTGTGGAACCCGTCAAAAACCAGGCAGGCCATTACACGGGCCTTTCGGCCTGGTCAGCAGAAGGTGGTTTATGTGTACCAGCTTCTGCTGGTCAACACCCCGGAGGAAGAAATGTATTGGAGGATCGCATGGAAGGAATGCGTGTCAAGCATCATTTTTAGGAAGGCATTTGTGGAGGACCCCTCTTGTTGGCAAAGAAACAAGCTCGAGGACGAGATATTGAGAGAAATGGTGGAGGAAGACAAATCGAAATCCATTCATGCGATTATGAAGAATGAGAAGGCTTCAACAAACTAATGAAAGGTGAGGTGTTGTTTGGCTGCTCAATGCACATTTTCTTGTAGCTATGCAAACTTGGACTTGCATTCACATCCTTTTCTTTCTTTCCTTTGAGGAAAAGTGCTTTCATATGAATGGCTTGGAGAAATAAATGTGTTCACGACGTTGAAGTTGATCTGTTTTCATTTAAAACACCCAAACCAGCTACCGAGTAAGAAAGTAAACTTAACCTGACGAACATGGCAGGTTTCATGGTAGCAGAGCATATGAATTTAGGTGTTCATGTATTCAAGGCCATCAGTTTCCTTTGGTTCGGCGTTATCTTTATTTCTCCAATCTTTGAGTTTCCACCTTTCCTTTGCTTTCATCATGGCAACCGAGAGAAAAGGGACATATTGCGTTTATGTAGTGACCTCCTGTTGTAGTTCTACGATAACATAATCGATTACCTTTTTTATTCACTGCTATAATTTTACCGACTGTATGTCTATACTTAATTCATCAGCCGTTCACATTTTCCTTTGGAAGCATGATGAAATTTATCTTGATTTTTTAAAGGATAATTTGAAGGTGAAAACACTCACACTAACTCAAAACTCAAGGAAGAGAAGAGACGAATAGGCTTTTTCTTTTCTTTTTATTTCACCTTTTGCACCTTATCAGAAATGATCACAAAACTTGCCTTTATATAGGCTTGTAACAGGACTCTTACTCTTGAATGACCCGTAAATATATCTAGCATAGAAACACGAACGGTCAAGATGCATGTATGTAGGAAATTCATGAATTTGGTTTAATTACTAACAATTTTCTGCTTGGAGTGGTTAGTGTCGTTACCATTTCCTCCCTTCTGTCATTTAGCTACTGCTGTGGTTTCCTTATACATTCTTATTCCTGCAGTGAACAAGTGGGAATAATCACAAGTAGGTGCTACTGCTGCTAGTAACCAGCATCAATATTGTATGAATAATCCAGAAGAAGAAGAGGAGGAAAAACAAAGAGAAGACAATCGACGGGTTGCTCAAGGTGTTTTGGCAAGCTCTCTGATGAGAGCTAAGCCTTTGCTTTAATAGATTGCAAAAGCATCGTGTTGTCTGCATTATTGCCGTGTTTTTTAATCTTGTATCTGGAAGAACTTATTGACTGGGAAAATGACAATGTTGTACAGTGTAGGAGTAAAAAGACTTCGGCAAAAGGTGCAGAGGAGGCTTTCTAGGCCCCAGTTTGGCGTTGAATATTATTGATCAATCGTGGGACTATGGTAGCTTTTTGAATTATCTGTGAGTAATTCAGCCTATCAAGGGTATTCTATGATGATGAAACAGGTCTTGAACCTCGGCTCGTTAAATAGATAAACAATCTGAAAAGGAAATGTTTGCTTATGCAGCCACTCTTCCAGGTAACCTTCACTGGGTGGACTTGTCCTCTTTCTGACATCAGGATTAGCGATTTGCGTCGGCATTGTGCTTTTAATTTGCGCAAATCTTTGTTAGCGCAAGATATGACGTGATCCTCATTCTGCATATTGGATAATCGAACTCATGTTGGTTCACGTTAAAATCAACTCAAACGGACAAACGGACATGGTTGCGTCAGTGTTACATCTTCTATTCTCCTCAACACTGATCGACATGCTAAGTTATGGTTTTCCTATTGCGATGCCCTTTCTAGTTAATGGATACCCTATGCTCCTCTTTCGTATCTGGGTTAGGACACTTCGGTACTTTCTTTCCCCCTCCCTTTCCCCAGCTTTCCAAACATAGTGCCGGTGTCTGTGTAAACGCAGTTGTTTCATTTTTTTTAACGACAGTTCATCAAAGCTTTCATTTCCTTGGCCAGAGATTCCTATCTATCAGCTTGATCCGTCAAATCGCAGGCTAGGAGTATTATATTTAGAATTTATTGGGACAAAGCAACACAAGGCCAAAAACAAACAAAAAAGAAAAGGATGAAGAAGGCCTGCAGCAAGTAATTGGAGGATGTCTCTCCATCTGACCCCACAAATTTGCTCTTTTAGCTGTAGTTTTGGAGGATCTTCTTCTCCACTTTGTCACGTCAAGTTTTGGTGGGGTTTTAACAACTATGGAGACTGCTGCGGGTGGGGCTGGGTATGAAATGTCAGTATCAAGATCATCTGAAGATTGGACCAGCAAAGCTGACCCATTCCATCAACTAAAGACCATATACAGAACTATAGAATACGTTGGCCCAATTAGTTCCATTCAACTTATTGCATGTTATCATTAGAAGCTGAATTTCACCCCTAAGATGCTTCTTTAACCGAACCCTAATTCCAAGTTGACAAGTTAGAATTGATTTATTCCACCATGAAGCTATTCATGGATTCTCTTTTTTCTTTGGCTTATAATTACATTCATTTCCTTCACTCTAGTGGGTTTTTTGGAATATTAGGTAAAAGGATCAACATGCCCCATTTTTATATGACATATTAACCACAGGATCTTAATGAGTTGATGATATCTTAATTGCAGACTCTATGGGTTACAATTTTTTTTTTTTTTTGCTTTTCTCTAGATTTTTGGTCATATTATTTTCCCAGTTTTCTCGTCTGTTAGATCACGCATGGAAAGATTTATTGCTATATATATGACCACCTTCAATGTATGTGTATTTCAACAGAAATTTGTGTCATCATTATCTAGTTTCTTTTTCCATGTTGAAGTAAGTGAGTTTTTTTTTTTAATCATGGTTAGGCCTAAAATCACACTAATACTCTCAAAAGTAGTTGCGAAGCATCTTTATGTTTTTTCTGGGAGAAAATTATCAAAAAAGTTCAAAACCTATTGTACTTTTACCAATTCAATCGTAAACATTTAATTGTGTTAAATAAGTCATAAATCTTTTTACATTGTCAAATGAGTCATAAACCTTGTCATATTTTGTCAATTGAACCCATGTGGCCAATTTTGACCGGAAGTCGCTGAGATGAATATCAGCCATCCTATGTGAGATGGACGATGCTAACGTGAATATTTTTTCATTTTTTAATAATTTTCAATTATTTATTTATTTTCTTTTTCCTTTCTTTCTTTCTTCTTATTTGCTTCTTTTTTTTACTGTTTGGCGAGGGCAACGAAGCTCTTGTCGGCCACATTAAACAACAAAACTCTTGTCGATGAATGGAAAAGAGCGTAAGAGGGATGGATTTTGTGTCGTTATCAAACGAATTTCTGTTTCGGGAAAAGAAATTTTATGTCGTTATCAAACGCATATTTCTGTTCATAAACTTATCCGGGAATAGAAACAAAAATTTGGCCAGAAATCTATTTCTGAAACAGAATGATTATCATTCGCGCTCTTAATACGAACTTGAGTTGTTGTTCAAAGGCTAGGGAAGAAATTACAAAACTTGAGAAATGATGTTTCGTAAGATTATATGTGCCATGAACACCGACAAAGTGTGGTCCAAAGGGTTCCTTCTGAACCATATGCCCCTCGAAACTACACTATTTTCTTAGGGCATGAATGATAACATTTTTCTTCCCCGGCCCTATTTCTGGTTGAAAATAGAAAAATCTATGTCCCTTTCCCGAACGAGTTTTTGGGCAAAAAGTAGCGTTTGATAACAATACAAAATTTATGTTTCTGTCGGCCAGTGAGCGACAGTGGCGACGATGGGCAACCGTAGACAAGCGGTGGCGGCGAGCGAGCGGCGGCAGCAGGCAGTGACAGCGGCAAACGACCAGTAAGCGGCGACGGGCGGCAGCCAACGGTGAGTGGGCGGCGGTGAGCGGCAAGGATAAGCAATAAAAGAAAATTGTTAATTATGTTTCTGTTGCAAAACTAAAAAAGTAGAAAATTGTAATGTTTCATTTCTGTTTCAAATCTATTTCAATTCAACCCAAAATTTGTCCCAGAAATATAAAAAATGAAATTATTTACCAAATGGATTTCTGTTCCAAACCTGTTCTTGAGAAAAAAAATAAAAAGAGAGGGAAACATAATAGTTATCATTCGCACTCTTACCAAACGGAGTTTCGTGTTTGATTTCAATCGGTACGATTTACATGTCTAATGTATTTTTAGTCATTGATACAAAATGTTTTCCTCACAATTAATGTGCTGATCAAATTCTATTGTTGGACTTACTAAGAATAAACAAAAATTAAAATGTGAGGTTAAAATGATACATGTTGTGAAAGCTGAAAGCATTTTATGGGTTAATTTCTCAAAAAACATCTTGTTTATAGATCTAGGATTGCTTTTGAGGTTTGACGTTCGTTTCAGTGGCATTTTGCGACGAAACCCACTTCGAGAGATTTGGATTTTGCGTCTACTTCATCAAGCATTTCAAAATTAACCGGTGAATAATGACATAAATGTTTTCCGGACTTTAACCTAATGTGTAATATGGTCCATAAATTTTTAATCTGATTCCCGAACTTTACCCATTTAGTCCCTTAACTATACAAAAATATTCAATATTATCCTTTCATTATTTCACATTTAGGGACAATATCAAACATTTCTATATCGTCTAAGAACTAAATTAAATATGTATCAAAAGTCCAGTGACCATATTGAATAATTTAAAAGTTTAGGGATGACATTACACATTGAGTTAAAGTTCGGAGATCACATTAAATAAATTAAAAGTTCAGGGACTACATTATACACCGAGCCAAAGTTTATGACCATTTGTGTTATTTTTCATATCTTCCTTTTTTTTTTTTTGTTTGGGTCGAATTCCATAACTGCCTTAAACAAGTGTTTTAATCCCACAAAACGGAGGCATTTCCTCGAACAGTTAACGTGCGACCCACAAACTCCGAGTGATCCGCGCGTTTGTCCTTGTCCCAGCTTTGCTTGTACGCGGACGTCTGGCCGACCCCACGAAGACGATGCCCCGGTCGCTTTTTCGTTTATTTTTCTTGTCATCTAAGCCACGCCAAGAAAATTCCCATGTGCATCGTGCAAGAACGTCGAGAAGAGAAGAAAATGCCAAGAAAAGAAACAGCGAAGCCGTTGCACGAATTGATTGGGAATTTATTGCCAAGAAAGTTCGGAGCTTGGTCCACCAACCGTGGCTCCTTTCGGAATTCCTTCGCGACCAAGTTTGCGCCTCTATCACGCGTTTCCATCTCCCATCTTGTGTTGCCGTGTACGCTCTCATTTTTATCGGGAACGCCATCTGGTCGACACCCACATCGTAGCTTGTTCTTCTCCTGGTTCTTGCTCGGGTTCTTCGAGAAAGTTGTCGAGGTTCGTGACTTTTTTGTTCAAACACTGCTGCCATTGAATTGAAGCGCGCGTTGGCAACTGTTTTGACTTAGTTTGGTACGCGATATGCTTTGCCTTGTCTCTGTTTGCTGCTATTTTTCTGTGTCCGAGAATGCCGGAAGAGGCGCTGCTTCATTTTGCATCATGCATTTGTCGGGAGGTTTGATTATCAGCATGATGCAAATTTATCTATATGTTGGTTCTGGTTCGAAACCGCTGTACATTCCGCGGTTTCGAATTTTCTAAAATCTGAGTACTTTGGTCTTTGCTTGTGGTGCTTGTTGGTTAGATTTAAGCATGGAAGCTGCACATTTTATACAGAGTGGCCGAATTGTGCACTCTCAAAGGCAGCATTTTTTCAGCTTTTTTCTTTCTTGTTGTTAAATTGCTAGTCTGTTTTGACATGAGGTATGCGCATGGAGTTTTTCCTTTCATTTCTCTGTGGTGTTTTCCTTTCATTGCGACCAAGTTTATGGAAAATGTGGAGTGATATATGGGATGGAAGCATTCTTGTGTGGTACTGTTCTTGTTAGTTAGCATGTAGCATTAATTCTAGAATATCTGTAGAGTGTCCAATAATACTAGGAAGGGTTCAAGTAACACGTATTGGCAATACATCGAAAAGATTGATTGCAAAACCCAACCTAAGTTTAACTTCATTTTGTTGATGAACTACTTGAAGCCACACAAGTTTGGTGTCCCCAAATTTGGTTCTTTGGGCACATCTTGGTGTACTGACTTAGCTTAGAGATTAATTACTCTTAACATTCTTGGATTACTATGGAGAGAAGTGTTAGAATCAGTTCTCCTCAAAGATATACCTGTGGAGGACTAGGTGTCAACCTCAGCAGAGTTATGAAAACTGTTTCTAGAAGTCATATGACTCTTTAGCCTTTCTTGGCTTTCTCATTGTGGCCTTCTTTATCCTCACCAAGTTCATTCATAAATTTCTATATGGAACTATAGTAGATGAGAATTAAATCCTGCCAAGCTTAATCAGATTTTGATTTCGGTAAACAATTAATGCCTGTGCCGTTGAGATTGTTCGTTATCAAGCTAAGTTGCCAATCTTCTCAATCATTTCATCCAAAATATCTACCCAAAGGTAGTTCCGTTGCAATTTCAAACTTGAGAAGAGCTACTAAGTGATATCATGACTCTGAAAGAAGATGCATCGTGACCCAGAAGGACATTTTGTTATGCAACACCACTTTCCCCTATCAACAGTGTGAAGTTTAGCTATGAGACTGTATTATGAGCACGGACAAGATTTCCTTTAGAGCTTTACTAGTCACAATGAGATTGTTCTAACCATTAAGGATGAAAATCCGACTTCTAGCTCCAGTCATAACATTTGCTGAAAGTTTAGATTTGCTAAGGTGAACTTTTTTAGCAATCTTTACATCCTTTGATTGTTTCTATCATAAAGTCCATCATTTTATTGTTATGTAGCTGAATATTAATTGTAGTATTGTCTAGCATAGCTGCTGCTACTTTGTGTTAATAAGCAGAGTGGTATTCCTTAATTTGTTTTGTCTTACAGTCCACGGCAGACGGCATGGAAGTAGCAGACTCCAATGTAATGACACTTGAAACGGTGAGAGACTCCTTGATCAGAGAAGAAGATACGATCATATTCTCTCTCATTGAGAGAACTAAATACCCCATTAATGTCGGTGCTTACGATAAATCCAAAACTGCAATTTCTGGGTGCTCTGATTCATTAGTAGAGTTCATGGTTAAGGAAACAGAAGCTGCTTATGCTAAGGTAAGATGCATTGTGTTATTGTTGTCTCATCAATTGTATGTCTTTGAGTCATTAATATCGTGATTTCTCATTGAAAGTCTTTTCTTTGGCAGTTTGCCTTTTCGTTTTTTTTTCTCCTTTAAAAAGAAAAAACCTCGTAATTGTTCCTTTTTCAGATCAATAAAAGTTGTATAATGGGCTAGTTGTGATTTCCTTTTCCCCAATTAACTTCCTTTAATGAATTTTGCTTTAGTAGATTTTTAATTAGTGAAATAGCCATTTTGGACATATCATTTGCTTTGATTGTTAGTTCAATATGCTAAAAGAGAGATATTCCCTTTGGCTTCTATTCTGAAATCGCGGATCGGGACTTGTTGCATTGCTTGTTTTCATGTGGAAGTTTTCTATTTTGGGGACAGAGCAGTCCTTTCTGCTTAGGGATGTGGTGTTAGTAGATAACCAAATGTCCAAACAATAAAATTGATTCTATCAGCAACAGCTTATATCCTTTCTTAGTGCCATGTCCATCAAAAGAGAAATTAAAGGTCGCAAGTCTCTGGAAGCCTGTTTAAGGATCTTTAGTTCATTGTCATGTCCATTTTAAGGATCATATTTCTCCTGCAAACATTGCATAGAGAAGCACTTGTAAAATGGCGTATGTCGTATGTGATGCCTCTGCATCCTACTGTCATATGACTTCTGTAGATATGACTATTGCATGATTGCAAATGAAATGTCCACACTGGTGTCTCCTTTTCCAGTTTTCTGAACGTAAAATTGCTTGACTAGCTAGTTATGTATATCATTGTCTAGAATCTAGATGCTTGTTTTACTGAACATGGCCTAGTATGAAACAGTGCGGTCGGTATGAAAACCCAGAAGAACATCCTTTCTTCCCTGATGGCTTGCCAACCTCACTTGTGCCGGCTTTCAACTATCCAAAGGCAATTCTCTTTTCTGCTCTTTGGTTTGCCCTCTCCATCAGACAACTCTGGATAAATGCATTGCTTCTCTATTGTCTTTAGATTTGTTGGACTGATCCCAATTACAGATTTTGCATCCTGCAGCTGCTTCAATTAATGTAAACAGTACTATATGGGAAATGTATTTCACTCAACTGCTTCCACTGATTACTGTCGCTGGGGATGATGGCAACTATGCCTCTACGGCTGTCAGTGATCTTGCATGTTTGCAGGTAAGAGTGCCGATGAAATTATCACAAGTGATTGGAGTACTGAACATATTATATGTAGTCTTAATAAAGGGGATTTTTTTTTCTTTTTTTGACGAGAAACATAAGTTCTTGAAAGGCTGGAGATTTTAAGCTCTCTTTAGGAGGTCCAGAGTTCTTGTTGGAGTAACGAAAAGGATTCTGCAGGGCATTTATGGTCTCCATCCCTCCATAAGTATTTCAAACATATGAATACACCCAATTGGAAGTGGTTAAAGTATTGACCAACATGAAACTAAATTACATGATATTGATTGTACTACTTTTTGTAAGCCAAGGTGTTTCGATTAATTGGTGAAGTAATAACGAAACATCTTGGAAGGCATAATTATCTTATGGGTACTTAGTCTGTAGTTTGTAGATAATGGCTAAATGACTGGAATGTAAAAGGTCGATCTTTGATTGATCCAACTACGTGAAAACAAGATGCTACTACTTGTGCCAAAGAACATGATCACAGACGAAGTTGATCCACCCTAATGGTATTTGGGCTTCAGTACTGCTGGGACTATGTGGACTGATGTTAACAACTGCCTTGCAGGCCCTCTCTAGAAGAATCCATTATGGAAAATTCGTGGCTGAGGTTAAATTTAAGGATGCTCCTCAAGAGTATGAGCCTGCAATTCTTTCCCAGGTATGTCGATCTTTTATGTTTAATTGTTGAGAAAAGTTACTGTCTTTTCCATGTCAAAATACGTCACAGAGAGAAAATTACTGTGTGCCAATATTGTGACCGAATACCTAGTTCCTGTCAAGTTCGGTAATGTTTGTAGGGAACCAAACAATACGCAATTGGCCAGTTTGGTATAGTTTGGTTTTCAGCTTTAAACAAACAGCGAACAGCCATGGAACTACAGAGTCAATAGCTTTTGGATTTACTCTAAACTGCAAATTAGTCCGCATCCTGAACTTACGTTCTCTAAGTCAGCAACAACTCAATGGATTTGGTCTCCCTCTTTCCAGGATAGAGATGCTCTGATGAAGTTGCTGACCTTTGAGAGCGTAGAGGAGATGGTGAAGAAGAGGGTCGCCAAGAAGACAATGCTGTTTGGGCAGGAGGTGAGCCTCGATGACAATTACCATGAGAAGAAGCTAAAGATCAATCCCGTCATTGTTTCTCGCCTCTACGAAGAATGGGTGATGCCTTTAACCAAGCTAGTGGAGGTTGAGTACCTCCTACGCCGCCTAGATTAATGCATACTCTGTACTGCAACTCTGCACTATGGATCAAGATCATACTTATCTTCCTATCTTTTGATATTAAAGAGCTGAGATCATGTGTAAGAAATCGTGGTGGAGAAAGCATTTATCATGGTTATCCCGGCACGATTTGAGTTTTGGCATCTTCGGATTCTTTTCTATCCTGCACATGCATAATCCAAGTTATGCAGAGTTTCTCTGACCCCTTTGTTATATGAGAACCTGGAAGTACAACTTTAAGGTGTATGAAACTCTCTCTCTCTCTCTCTCATGTAAGATAAAGACAAGGTTGTCTGCACCTGAAAAATGCCTTCCAGCACAAAAATCCTGAGCTTTGTTGCCATGCAGGGAGCAACAGCCCGGGTCTCCTGAGGATGTCTGGTCAACTGAGGTAGCAATAATTAGAATCCAATGACAATATTAAGACCATTATATTCTTCAGCAAAAAAATAAAATAAAATAAAACCTAATAAACAAAAACCGTTATATTTTATTTCCAAAGCTTTCATCTTGGCCCAATACAGGCAAAATTGATGCGGTCAAATTAAAGAGAATGCATTTGAGCCTAATATCACATTGGACGCCTATACTGTCCCTTTTTTGTTGTGTCTAGACACATGATAGAACATGGTTCAAGTAAAATTTACAAGAGTTCTCGATCGGGGGCTAATGGATCCGACCATCTTCTAATTTGGGAAATTTATAAAGTAAGAGGAATCAAAATGGAAATTATAGTTATAGATGACAAGAATTAATTTTCTCTCCGACAAGCGAATTACATGTGCAACAACAAATCAAGAAGCCGGAGTGTAATGCTACCCCGTGCTTATAATTTCTAAAATAATTTCTTGTGTTTTTGTCTTTTTTATTGAAAATATTTTTCATCTCGCTCCTAAATCTAAATTTGCGAGTCCACCGGCCGCTGTACTTTTTTTTTTCCCTACTGTTGGTTACATTAGTCTGCTCGTTTGCTGTCATGTTCATCCAGTTAAGATCTAGCATTATCTTTGCCCGAAAGATATTTCATGTGAGGATAAAAATTCCTTTAATATATTCTCCTACCTTTTTCGGAAAAAGGAAAGAAAAAAAGTCTGACAGAGAAAAAGAAAATGACAGAAGAAACCAATACGGCCTCTGACTTGGTCTGCATAAAGTCAGTCTCACTTTCATTTCATCTCATCTCGTCTCATTTCATCACTCATACGGACCTCTCCTTGTTCACCCAACTACCACAGCTCATCAGCGATCACACTTTGGTCCCACCTCTCTCTCTCTCTCTCTCTCTCTCTCTCTCTCTCAAGCTCAAAACAGTGTTGACATTACAGGACATTTCCCAGACCAACGAAAACTTTTACTCACAAATCTTTATCTGCTAAGAAAAGCAAAAACGCCCTCCAGTCCACTTCTCTCTGTTCCTTCATCGTTTTCATATCATCATTGATTGCCCAGTAAACGGAGGCAGCGAGCAAGAGAGAGCATTTACTTTTTCTACCGAAAACAAGAAAAAAAGCAAGACCCTTTAAAGCTTTGCTTTTTAGCAGTCAGAAAAAGAAAATAAAAGTTGTGCAACCTGCACAGAATCCAATTCTCACTGTGTGCATAGATTTCTCCGTTTCACTGTCCCTGTCTCTCTCTGACTTGCCACTCTCTCTCCCTCTCTCTCGGTTTCTACAATTTTTCTTTACTCTCTCTTCAGCTGCCTGAAGACTGAACCTATCAACGCCATTTCAAGACTCTCTCTCTCTCTCTCTCTCTCTCTGTGTTTATTTTGGAGGGGGTCAAACGATCGCCGGAAATCTGTCACAGTCGCCGGTTAAAGTAATTACAGCTCTCTTACTTTCCTGTGAGCTGTTCTTTCATTATCTATTTTTCATTAATTAAAGGTTGCGACTTCTGCATTGCATTTTCTTGCGTGTGTCATGTGTGTTATCAAGCTCAAGCTTCTGAAACGTACTTCGTTTTTGTGACGATCGCGAAGATGTAATCTGCATCATTGCGTTCAAGCTGTCTCCTTACTTTTGTGGGTTGAAGCCAGAATTTTTTCTCTTTTCTTTTCGTGTGAGTGGATACCCGCTTTTACATATGTTGAGCTTTTCTGTATGACATGATTTTTGCTGTAATTTGCTTTTCCGAGTAAGTTTTTTTCTGTCTTTCTTTTAGGCCCCGATATAGATCGATGGCCATGGAAAGAAGGAAAAGGACTGTCATACCATTTTTGCATAGTTAGAAAGTTAATGCTCCTCTTTGAGGGTACAGAGCATCGTGTTCCTTATAAGAGGGAAATGAAAATGGTAAGTGAGTTAGGGCGTGAAGTTTTTCTTTAGTTGTAAAATAGAGTTTCAAGCTGCATTTTCTTTTTTTTTTTTACTTCCGTTATTATCTTCGCAGAATATATTTTGCTGGATGCTCTGGAAAGGTGAGAAATCCATGACTTGGTATACAGAAAATTCAGAGTGGCCTGCTTCAGTAATTAGGAAGAAGCTATGCAAGCCAGTGCCTAAATTGACTTTTACAGTTATTCTTTTTTTGTTTTTCATGTTTTTTATTATTATTATGTATTGTTCTGATCTAGCCTCATCTTGATAATGAAAGTTCATTTGTCAGTATGATCTGATTAATCAAGTTTAGCGTCTCGAGGTCGAAACAAAATTGATAAAGGCAGTGTCAACATATACTTTTGACATATGCCATGGATTGATTTCGTGAGAGTTCCAATTTTTCGTTCATATGGTTCTAACATGGCTCAAATCGATAGTCTGACATTTTCTGTCCTATTTTATCTCTCTTTCCCGAGAGATTAATCCTGTGGGACATATGTTAATCTTCACAAGCAATTATCTTAGGCATAGCATGTTCTGCATTTAAAGAGAAGAGAAAGGTAGATTTATACCACACGGTGTATCTACCATTATAATGGCAGTGGTTGGCCTAGGGATGATGAAGTCCCAATAATTAACGCACATAAGTTGTACTCTCTTTAGTGTTTCAATGTGCTGGGCCTGATGGGGAACCTTTGGCAACACTTCTCAGGTACATGATTCTTGACCAGTGTTTCGTTGAAAGCTAAAGAAAGCATTTTACTGCTGGAGAATTATGGGAAGGAGAAGGGATTTATATCAGTCCAAGCATTCATTTAATGAATACCGTAATCATTGGCTCTCAATCTCGTTTTCTTCTTTCGTTTTGACAAATCTCCTGATTCAAGATTAATAGCAGACTTGTCTGGCTTCATCCATGCATGATATATAGTTACCGTTGAAGTGCCACAATTGCGTTAACTGATTTAACCAACTTTTGATACTGCTATAATCGAAAGGGGCATATATGTGATTTCATGGCAACCTGATGAGGCTAATATGATTAGTTTCCTTATAGTCCTAGACTTTCTTTTATAGTGGCAATAAATTGCAAACGTTTAATTTCTAGTATCCCGTGCTTTTCCCGATGTCAGCTTTTGAGGCTTTGTGCGCGGGATCATGGCAACCTGTGGAATCAATAAGAATTAGCCATGGAAGAATGATCATATGCACTGTTGATGACCGGTATGCAATTGAGGAAAGTGGACCTTTCACTAACGTACGGATAAAGTCACGCCAAGCAACTCTATCTGACTGTACCTGCTTTTTGAGGCCTGGGGTGGACATATGTGTGCTTTCTCCTAGTGAAAAATCAAATGACTTTGGAGAACTTCAAGAGCCTGTAAGTTTGCCTGCTTGTTTAATAGTGTTCTCTCTCGGAGCATTATCGCTTGAAGCTTGTTCTTGCTGTGTTTGTACAGTGAGCTCAATGGGTTGTTTGTGCATTAGTGCTGTCTCCTTCACTCAAGCAACTAGAAAGGTTTCCTTTTCAATGTTACTATTATTTAGTACTTCTTTCCCTGAAACATAAATTGATTCATATCATACATGATGACATTCATCCAGATTCAGGGTAGTCTAATTGTACTGCTGGTGTTTCTGCATTAGTTGATTACACATCTGCTCGATAATGGAGGAGAAATTGTTATTTCCTATTTGCAAACAGTGACTTGTTGAATCTAAATATAAAAACTACTCATTTTTGCCGCCTTCTTCCTCATGGTTAAGCTGTTTTTTTCTGCTAATTCTGCCATTTGAATACTCATATACAAAAGGCTCGACACTCAACATAGCGTCCTATTTGAGAGGATTCATATAGGTGACACCACTTAAAAGGCTTAATTTTGTTGTTGCTGTTGTTGCTGTTGTTGTTTTATCATCAAGAACATTGGAAATAATGTTTTCCTGACTGGGTTTGGTGCTTTCATAAAAGGGTCTTATTTCAGACTGAGTCTTACAGCACAACAATGTCCAATCCATGATATAATCAAGTATATCCCCTAATTATGGTCATTCGCATTTTAAAATTTTCTATCTTGCTTAAGTTGGAAATTCAGAATGTCTAGTGCAAATAATTCGTTCCATAAATCTTAAGCATTGTACTTTCTTTTTTAGGGGTGGGTTGATGCACGAATAAGTTCGATTGAGAGGAAGCCTCATGAATCTAGATGCTGCTGTCAGTTCTATGTGAAATTGTACACTTCCAAATGTCCTCTTGGCTCAGAAAAAGGAGTACTTAGTAAAGAGATTACTTTAGTAGGAATAGATGACATCTCCATCCTCCAAAGAATCGATTCTAAACATTTTGAAAGCCAGCTATATCGGTGGACGTATGCCGAGGACTGCTCTTTATTGCAGAGAAGTAAATTTCTTCTAGGAAGATTCTTGGCTGACATTTCTTGGTTACTTGTCACATCAGCCCTGAAACAGATCATTTTCAATGTAAGGTCATTGCACAATAAGATTGTCTACGAAATATTTGGTCGTGATGGAAGAGTCTCTTTCAATACTGACAATAATAACTTGAGAACCTTGAACTTCAAAGTCGAAAATGAAGTTATGATTCCTATCGTAGTCCAGCACATTCCAACGAAAACAAGTGAGGCAGGTGTTGCTTTTGGAGAACATGAATCAGCGCTTGTGCCCTTCTCAGATGTTATGGACTTGAGACGCTCCAAACGTAGAAACGTTCAGCCAGAGCGTTTCCTCGGATGTGATGCATCCCAGTTAA